ATAAACTAAATAATATAAAAAGATTGAATTTTTACTTTAAAAATAAGTTTTTTAGAACTTTATCCTCCGTTTTGTTTTTTATTGATTTTCTTTATAAAAAAAACTCCAGGCGTATAAAAACATTAAAAAATCATCTTCTTTCTCTCTCTTTTTTTATTCTCTTTTTTAACTTTTTTTTTTTATCTCCATACCTGGGTCTAGTAGCCATGCTAAACTCAAGCAGCTTGAATCTGAGCAGATGATAATTAAAATATTGAGACTTATAATTTTTTTATAAAAAAAAATATTTAAACTATCATTGAAATATCTCAAATAAAAATCCAAGTTAAAAAATTATTTATAAATAACAAATCATAAAAAAATCTAATTTAACATTTTAAATGTAAAAATTCAGATATTATCTTCCCATTGAAATAATTTATTTTTTATATTTATGAATTTGTTATTCCTTCAATAAAAATTTTATATTCTCTCTTTTTTTTTCTTTTTTTTTCCTTTATGTTTTGTAATTATTTTTTTAACTCAATGCCTGGGTTTTACATGACCCAAGCCCCTGTCTTGATATAACTTGGATCCTTTTATCATGTTAAACCTAAAAATCTTGAGTTTAACATTAATTTTCATTTTCTTGAGTCTAACATTAGTTTTATTATTTTTAAATTTAAAAAAATTGTGCTAGATTTATGTTTAATTAAATTTGATAAAGAAGTAAGGCTCAAATTATTTAATTTCTAGATTTAAGATATTTAAGTTTGGCATGGTACTTAAATATAAGATAATTAAAATATTTTTAATATTTTTTTAAAATTTTTAAAAATTAATATTAACCTGCAGCTGGCATGGGTCATAATATAAAAATGATTAGATATAAAATTAGCATAAACAGGGATTTTGCACTTTATTTCGTCAGATTTCATGGGATAACTTTGTCAGCCAAATACTATGGATTTCTGCGCTCAGAATGCATTTCTAACTGTAAAAGCGGCCTTCTTTCTACGACTTTTGTTAAAGCAGCGGCCTTTATGACCCATTATTGGATCTTCACCGAGGCCTGCAGAGAGCGTGCTTTAATTTTATATATTTTATTTTGTGCTTAAATAGAGTGTGTTTCATGACACTCAGAGTTTATTGTTTAAAAAACAATAAGTTTTAAAAGACGTGATTAATTGAGCTTTCCTGGATTTAGATTAGATAAATATTTGATAAAAATGGTTGTTGGAGTTTATATACATTAAAAAATTTTAATATGTATTAAATATTTAATAATTATATAGTTGTAGTTGTTTTTCAAAATATTTTTTATATAAAAAAATATTAAAATAATATATTTTTATTTTTAAAAAATTATTTTTAATTCAGCACATAATCTAAATATATCAAAATAATATTAATTTAAAAAAATAAAAAATTATTAAATTTTTTTAAAAATATTTTTAAAACTCAAAAATAAATAATGTTTTACCAAATTTAGTTTAAAAAACATATAAAAATTATTTTAAAAAATTATATTTTAAACTTAATTTTTTAATAAATTTTAAAATATAATTTTTACTGTTACTAACTATCTTATTGTGTTTTTACACGGCAAAAAAAAAAAAAAATAGTTACAAAACAAACGTAGACCCATTAGATTTTTGCCAGCTTTCGTTTTCTTCTTTTCTCGGTCCCATTTCGTGTCATCCTCCGCACAAGTCTTTTTTTCTTTCTTTGTAATACATTTATTTAAAAATAGACAACTCAACGACCCCAGTCGTCTGCATTAAAACTACCGTGACTTTTTTCTTAATATTTAATGAGCTTAATGATAATATAGTTTTTAATTGAATAAGGACATGACAGCGCATTGCGAACACGAAATTGTGTATTTTCTCATAACCTTATATTATTTATTAATATTCTTTCTGGTTATTTGTGAATAAACAAGTCTTTTTTCAATATTAATATTTGAGAGCGGTGATCTTACTAGAACAACATGTTAATTGATATAAATACCAGTTGAGGAATTCAAAATAATATTTAAATAAATATTAAGAGAGAATTAACTACGAGAAAAAATATACATAGATGATTGAAATGTAAACTACCACTAATGCTTCTGAAGTCCTTTTCTGGATATCATGAAATGTGATGTATGATGTGGAACATACATAATGTCTAAAGGCTTGAATCGAAGGATTATTAATATATAGTGAAGATCTCCGTCCCCTACCTTAAGTTTGTTGTTATAACTCAAAGCTTTTTGCCATGCAATAAAAATGTATTCTTACTTGACAGAGGTGACATTGTTGATTCTGGTTATTAAAATCAGCGTTAAACATCAAGTACTATCAAGTGTAAGAAAATGAATACATATATTCTTGAAGAATTTTGACGATAATACATGAATTGAGCGCATGTACATGTAAAGAAAAAAGAAAAAGGTTAAGGATATTATGATCTACTATTGTATCATGCTATTTGTAAGGATAAAAAAACATTTTTAATTTGAACATTTAATTAGATTTCAAAAGAGAATGAAAAGGCAAGATTATGATTTATAACTGTTTAGCTAATGAAGTTTTGAGACCCTGTCTCAGAATTAATTGAATTTAAAAAATTAAGATTTTGGAAGAAATTTAAAAGTAGTTTTGTAATAATAACAATATTAAAAAAATCAAAAAAAGAAGAAGAAAAGAATTAGATAGCACTGAGTTTTTTCCAAAAAACTCATTCCTTTAATTTTCCCTCGTCAATTCTAAATATATAGTTATTGACCTAACTATGGGGCATTGTCCCGGATTTTATAGGTAAACTCAGGTTAGCTTGAGTCAACATAGATCAATCCGGAAAATTAAGTTATTAAACTTAACTTGAGATTGACCGGGGCATGGTCCCGGATTTTATAGGTAAACCCAGGTTAGCTCGAGTCAACATAGATCAATCCGGAAAATTAAAAAAATTTAAATTTTTAATATTTCATATGAAAAAATCCATATAAATATAGATGATACATATTATAAATAATAAAGTTTTAAAAAATATTTTTAAAGATTTTTTTATCACATATTAAAAAGATACTATATTAAGCTTTTTTATATTAAAGTATTTAAACCAAAAATGTTTTTTTATCATACATTGAAAAACATAACTAATTTTTTCTTAGAAACATAAAGTATATATATTAATAGATTTCAAATTCCACATTGAAAAAACATAATATTTTTAATGGAAACATAGAGTATATATACGAAAAAGCTTCAAATCTCATATTGAAAAAGATACTATATTATTCTTTTAAGTTGAAGTATTTAAATAAGAAGATTTTTTTATCTTATATTAAAAAAATATAAAGTATATATATTAATGGATTTCAAATTCCTTATTGAAAAAATATAACTTTTTATATAAGAACATGAAGTATATATATAAAAGAGTTTCAACCTCATTGAAAAAATATAACTTTTTACATGAGAACATGAAGTATATATATAAAAGAGTTTCAAATCTTATATTGAAATGATACAATGTTATTATTTTAAGTTAAAATATTTAAATTAATTTTTTTTTATCTCATATTAAAAAAATATAATTTTTTTTTTATAAAAATAGAGTATATATAATAAAAAATATCATATTTGAAAAGAAAAAAAATTCGTTCGGATTTTAGCTCGACTAGGTATAATAATAATTTGGTAAAAGAAGCATTCCATTATTTAATAGAAGACTCTTTGGCGAGGGAATGGAAAAGACAGTAAGACATTTCTTTTTTCTTATGGGCCACATGAACTAAAGAGTGGTGGCTCCATGAAGTGCATTCCACATCAATCACCATCTCACGAGAATCACGAGCGGCACTGCCACGATTTGCAAGGGTAATTTAATCATTTAAAAATTAAAAGTTTGAAAAAGTCTCTTGTTGGGAAATATGGAAAAGCCCATGGAAACCAATTTAAAAATTCTAATTGTAAGGGTGATTTAGTTATTTAAAAATTAAAAATTCAAAAAAATCTCTGGTTGGGAAAAATGAAAAAGCCTATGGAAACCAATTCAAAAATTCCAATTATAAAGGTAATTCAGTCATTTAAAAATTAAAAGTTTGAAAAAGTCTAAATTGATTAGAGATAACTTGATTTTTTTTTTTTTACATTTTTAAAGCTCAATAAAATAATTAAATTATCTTTAAAAACAAAATTTAATGATCCTTATAAAAATAATATATTACCTTTAATAATAATACTATTGCTTTTTTTTTTTGTTAAGAATAGTAAAATGGTCAATCTATAATATAATGTGTCTACCTCCATAATGAAATATTAATCTCTTTTATTTTTATAATTGTATTATGATTATGATTATGATTATAATTATAATGTAAATAATTAATTGCATTTTAGTTACTGTAGAATTTAGTTTTATTGTGAATTATAATGATGAAAATATTAGCAATATTTTATTTATTTAAGTCAACAACTCCCTTTTGATACCGTTCCTTCCTTTTATGTTTTTTCATGTCTGAAAACAAAGAAAGCATGAGAAATTTTATGCGGTAAAAGAGTAATCAGTAAAATAATTAGGGTTATTTTATTAGTTATTTTTAAAATTTATTTTGAAGAATAAAAAAGATATAACTAAAAAAAATTCTTATGTAGAGATATTTTTACCATAATTTTTTTTATATCTTGTGTCTATTTAAAAAAAAATAATGATGTTAAAAAATATCTAAGATCTCTAGTTATTCTCCGGTCACGTTTTTCATGGTCACGTTTTTCATGGTTAAGTACATGCATTGACATTTAAATCCTGGAAGATTCTCATTATGCGTGGTAGTTATTTTATATAGCAGTCATTGTTTTTGAAAATATTTTTTATTTTTAAAAAGTATTAATAATATTTTTTAAAAATTATTTTTAAAATTATCATATTAAAATATTTAAAAATTATAAAAATATATTTATTTAAAAATATTTTTTTTTTTAAAATACTTTTAAAATAAAATACAATCTAGGTGACAATGGAAATATAATCAGACTTCCTCTGCACTCTTCACTCATAGTGAAAATCATCCTATCCTTGTGGCTTATTGCAACACAACACTTCCAGACTATACCACAGAGAGAGACAGAGTACGAGTGATGGATGAGCTGAGACCAAGACCAGCAAACTCTTATGCTCTAACTCCTGTAGGCTTTCTGGACAGGGCAGCGATAGTGTATGGTGATTGCCCCTCCATCATCTACAATAACATATCCTACACCTGGTCCCAGACCCACCGTCGATGTCTCCAACTGGCTTCATCTTTATCATCCATCGGTCTGAACAAGGGCCATGTCGTCTCTATCTTAGCCCCCAATATCCCTGCCATGTACGAGCTCCATTTTGCAGTCCCTATGGCCGGCGCCATCCTCAACACCCTCAACACTCGCCTTGACGCGCGTACCATCTCCCTCCTCCTCTGCCACGCCGAATCCGAGCTCCTCTTTGTAGATCCTATGTCTGTCTCCTTAGTCAATGAAGCTATCTCCCTGCTTCCATCCAGCGCCAAACCTCCACTTCTCGTCCTCATAGCCGATGATGATGAGGTCCTCCCCCAACAACCATCACCTACCATTCACTTCTACGATACCTACGAAGGGTTGTTGGAGAAGGGTGATCCTGCCTTCAAGTGGACCCGTCCCAAGAATGACTTTGACCCTATTGTACTGAACTACACATCAGGCACGACCTCATCCCCTAAAGGCGTGGTGCACTGCCACAGGGGTCTCTTCATCGTGACCCTTGATTCGCTTGTTGACTGGTCATTCCCGAAACAGCCTATCTTCTTGTGGACCCTGCCCATGTTTCATTCCAATGGATGGAGCTATCCCTGGGGGATGGCTGCCGTTGGCGGAACCAACATCTGTGTCCGTAAATTCGATGCACCCACCATCTATGGTTTGATTAAAAAGCATGGGGTGACTCACATGTGTGGTGCACCTGTGGTTCTCAACATGCTATCAAACTCTCCTACCAATATGGAACCTTTAAAGCATCCAGTCCATATTATAACAGCCGGGGCTCCACCACCGGCCACCATACTCTCCCGCACGGAGTCCTTGGGGTTCGTAGTGGGACATGGTTATGGGCTGACAGAAACTGGTGGGATTGTTGTCTCGTGCGCCTGGAAACGGCAGTGGAATCTTTTTCCGGCAACTGAGAGAGCGAGGCTGAAAGCAAGGCAAGGTGTGAGAACAGTTGGAATGACTGAGGTGGACGTGGTGGATCCTGTGACAGGAATGAGCGTGAAACGAGATGGATTAACACTTGGTGAGATTGTTCTAAGAGGTGGGTGCATCATGCTGGGTTATCTCAAGGACCCAGTAGCTACAGCCAAGTGCATGACAGGGAATGGTTGGTTCTGCACTGGAGATGTAGGTGTGATGCATCCTGATGGTTATTTAGAGATCAAAGATCGATCGAAGGATGTCATAATTAGCGGTGGAGAGAACTTGAGCAGCGTAGAGGTTGAGTCAGTGCTGTACACATTTCCAGATATTAACGAGGCGGCGGTTGTGGCACGACCCGATGAGTTTTGGGGCGAGACGCCCTGTGCGTTTGTGTCTTTGAAGGAGGCCTGTTGTAGGATCCCAACGGAGAAGGAAATCATTGAACATTGCAGGGGCAGGTTGCCACATTACATGGTGCCCAAAACAGTGGTTGTTAAGGAAAACCTGCCCAAGACATCAACTGGGAAGATCCAAAAGGCTGTGCTTCGTGACATGGCCAAGGCAATGGGCTCGTCAAGAGCCAGTCGCATGTGAATGCAGCAGTTCATTAATTACTTTTATTTAAAAAAAAAAAATCAGTTGTATGAAGAAAGCAAGCTGGATTGCATAGTTAAAACTGTATCCGTGTCCTGATACCGGCAGAAATGTGTCGTGTTCTTGTGTGTGTGTGTGTGCGCGTGTGGCGTGAAGATATTGCAGTTTGTTTCCTTCTGTCTTTGATCAATCGATTCAAGAGTTCAATTATTAAATTTTTTTTTTTGGAAGCGATTAGTTCAATTAATTTGGGTTTTGACTTTTGGATGGACGGCAAAAACAGCACTGTTGATCCACCAACGATTCCCATGGGGACTCAAAAATCTGTATGTATGAAAATAGAAACATGGTTTGTTATGAGTATTATATGTCTGGTAGAGGGTTAGCGCAGAGTAAAATTTATGTTGATCATGTATTTTTAAGGGAAGATAATGATGACCCCTCAAAACCCTCCTCTTAGTAATTAAAATTGAAATTACAAAGCAGTTTTTTTTTTAAAATGATTTTCAAAGTACATTTTCAAATTAATGTTTTTTGATGGTTCTAATACAAATGTCAAACTTATATATATCTATAAATATACATACAAAATAAAATTGATTCAGTATTTTTCGGATGCAACTGTTACCAAACACATTCTTAACTTTCTTGGCCGCCGCATTTTTAACGGTTGGTGTAAGGTGTTCCAATTTGATGGTTGCGCGCAAAGAGAACAGACAACCACTTGAGATAATCCCTTCGTATACTTCTTTTAGCATGTCTATGAAGACAGTGACCATTAACAAATGCTAGCAAGCAATTCATGGAAAGATGTGGTGACAGTTTTGTCCATTTTATACTGGACAATTACAAGTGTTTTCTTTTAAACTCTAAACTCTAAAATTATTTCTGAACTCAAAACTTAACTTCACATTTATTGGCGTTCCAATCAATCACATGATAACCTATTATAAAAATTCGACTACAATATAAAAATTCGATCTTTTTGTAAAAAATTAAGAGAATCTAAAAATGATCATTTTGTAAAAAATTAAGAGAATCTAAAAATCAGAAATATTATGAACTGGATATGTTAGATTATCTATCCTTTTTATTTTTCCTTCCAATACTTTTGAATATCTATCTCTATATATTCAAAGTATAAAAAAAATAGATAGATGAATTAAAACACATACGTTCCTTGAGTGTTTTTATATTTCACTATCAAAAAAATATACCATCATACCAAAAATTATATTTCTCTATATGACAAATTGTAAATCATACCAATAAAAATAAAAAGCAACAAATGATGCGAATAAATTAAATTTGTTTGTGTGCAACTTAAGACGTACGTTCCTTGATTCAGCTAAAAAGTGAGAATACACATTTTTAAAGTATTTTTATATTTCACTATCAAAAAAATATACCATCATTCCATCCATTGTATCATATGATTGGTGCTATATTATGTGCTTAGCAGTTTTTGGTAATATAAATAACCTCTACAGTTTAGGTGTAATTAGAAAGAATCTAAGTTTTTTATATGATACAGGAATCTTTCCCCTGCCAGTTTTGAATTGATAATAGGAATGCCTACATGTCATGCATTTAATCAGCTTAACATTTTCAAGGTAATACATTATGCAAAAGTTTGGACACATTTAATTTTCTAGTATCCTAAGCCAAAGGGTTTCATCATGGACTTAGCAGCATATAAGTTATCTTTTAGCCTGTTTCCTTTAGGTAAAAAGTTTCTCGTCTATTCGGTAATTTTATCATAATAATCCTCACTCAACCCATAATTCGACTTGATGGTAAATACCCATACAACAACCAATAATTTACTATGATTTGTGCAGTCATCCTATAATAGTTTATTTAAATCTTTCAAAAAATTAGAAAACTTGATTGCATCTGTATTAAGTTTTTCTTCTATGATTGGACATTTTGACATTACCTTGATTCACTCTCGTTGCATCTATAAGTATATGCATGTAAGGATCACTGTTGTCATTTATAACTCCATGCACCTTGCTAATATTAAAAGTTGACTCAACCATCTTTTCTACCATGCTTTCTAATTAATTCTTAAAAGTGCATTTTTATCAAGGTTTTATATTATCATTTTACACTTGAAGTATTAATAACTCCTTAACTAAAACATGTTTTATAATAACTCTTTAACTAAAGCATGTTTTATCAAGGTTCATGTTCTACTATTTAATGTTAACTTTCTTAGGTTGAGATTATTATTTTTTCTTATTTTTTAAATATATATACATACAACTTAAAACATTATGCATCTTTAACCCATGTAACGAGCTTTCGGCTAATGACTCCTAAATCAACATTAGGTGTTGAGGCACCTCTATGAGCTTAGTAACTTGGGTTGCCGATACTGATACGTAGATAGTGCAATGTTTGATTTTCTTAAGCTTTTCTCTTCAACCTATGTAATAAGCGTTGGGCCAATAGCTCCCAAGTTAGTTGTCTTTAGGGTATTAGGTGTTAAAACACT